TATAACTAGGAATTCTGGTTAAGCAATAAGACAACCCAAAGAAAGAAGCTGTTCAAATACTGGGTGGTTCCAGTTTCAAGAGACTGGTAGCATCTTCCTGAGGGAAGTTTATGAAGGAAGTGGTAACCTGGGTGAGAAGGGTCATCAGGAATACTTTGTGCCCACTTCCTTGCTGTAGAATTGTACAGATTATCAATGTAGGGCAGATGACACCCAGTGACCCTCTCTGTAGAGCAAACAACACACTGCAGTTTGCTTTTGGAGTGGGCAGACATGTTTGCAAACCAAACAGTTATAGAGCAGACAGATTACTGTCAAAGCTCTGTAAAACTTCATCAGAATTGACTGAGATACACCAAAGTTCTTCAGTTTTTTTTCTTGAAGATTATACAGCATTTACTAACATCTTTCTTTTACTTCTGAATTTAGTTTCAAAAACTGTCGAATTTGACATGTCTTTTGAATTTATATAACTTTAACGTTAATTTTATTTATTTTCTGTGCGTTTGTCAGTATAGAGTAACATGAATTATTCTCGAAGTCATAAAGTAAATATTGTGAGACATCTTACATCCAATTTCTTTTTTTCTGGATTTTATTATCCAAAATAATTACAGAAATATATTAATCCCACAGCACATAGAGGGACTCTGAGCTGTGTGAATATATTCACTGTAATTTCAAAGAGCATGTATCTGTAATTCTTAACTCTAATTGATCTTTCAGGGTTCTTTACAACATTATCTTCCTGTTTCCATATAGTAAATTAAAACCAGTTTCTCAGTTTGCGCAAAATGACAATGTTCTTTACAAACTGCTCCTGTTCTTATTGTAAGTGCATAGCTTTAATAATAGCTTTTCCATTTTTTTATTTATGCATTTCCTTGTTATTCTCAAGGCCATCAACATTTAGCTACTTCCAAGGTTGTATTTTTTGTTTTGCTTGAGTAGAACGTCCATTAAGTGAATGCACTTAAGTAAATTACTTGATTATGAAAAAACATTTATCTATACTATATATTCCAACCGTTGTATCTTTTTTATTGGTCGATATGATTCAGATTCTTATAGAAAACGACAGTTTTTCCAAAAGGGAAATGTCCAGCTGTCCTTAATGATTTTTAAAAAATCAAAATCTATTTGTTCATGAACATGTTGTACCTGGTCAGGTATACCTGCTTTGAAGTTTTCCCCCTTCTCTTTCTAACATAAGGTACAGATGAGGCAGGCTGCCAAAGCTTCTGGAAAATAATATTAAAACCTTTGCCCACTGAAAGCACTTTAATTTGATTAAAATAGATGATTTTAGAATATCACTTTTTTGTCATTAGCTTTTTTAAATAAATACATTCTTAATGCATGTACTGTGTGTTTGCAAGTAATATTTATACAGATGCAAAACCCTGTTATATCAAGCATTTCACTGCAACCTCGTAAGGCCATTTCATATAATGCTCCTGTTTACTAAAGTGTCCAAGATTAATAAGGAACTGTTCTAAAATAGTTCATGACAGTTTTCAAAACATTTCTATTAAACATCAATCCTAGCTTTACTTCTAAAGCAATTATGCCTTCCGGTCCTGTGGTATGTGGTAGTCTCAGTATATTTTTACAGAATTCTCTTCTTCATAACATGTACAGTGTGACAACAACAAACAGTACAAAAATAGGTTTTAGAACCTACGTACAGTACTGATGAATATCTGTGGATTTCTTCATGAATCTAATTAGAAAGGCCAGTGGAAGGCAACCCACTTGGCATGAGTATTTAAAGTGTGAGGAAAAGCTCTTGAAGTTTATATTAGTGTTTAAAAAATGTTTTTTTTTTGGTCTTTTCATACTTTTCCAGAAGCAGAGACTGTACAATATTGCCAGGGTTCTCCCCTGGAATGTGAAAACAGTATCATACCGCACTGCTCCACTAAGAACATGACTCCCCTGGGTCTTCGTCTGGTATGTATTATTCTGTTTTAGTTAACAGGACGAGCTTCCCTGGGGCATTCAATGTAAACACCAGGCATCTGATCTCATGGTCTCCTTTAGGTTCTCTGCTCCTGGATTCCAAACCTGTATCCACGCTCTGGGCCTCTGGGTGTCTTTGGCACCAACAAGGAGACAGATTTTCTTTTAAAAAAACGCAGCACAATCTGACAGGTTCCTCTCGTGAGAAGCCAGAGCACCTGCTGTGTAGTAATTAGCCAGACACAGGCTCAGAGCTTGGGTCTCAAGACACAGCAACATCTAGCTACAGGGACTGAGGAAGAAATTAGGTTACATTAGAAGATTTCGGGACTTACCTGCATGGAAAAGAAGTGGTACAGTTTTACACTGTACTTGCCCAAAGCACTGGAGACCATTGCCTTTACATTAGCCCCACTGGGTTTCTGGGGCTTGTCGTGAAATCTGTGTGGACTTATTCAAGTGTAGAGCATCTTAAACAATAGCACTGCCTATTTATTTTGTAACTGTTCTTGTTAGTGATGATTCTTACTGCTTCCAGGCTGAATTTTCCTTGTTTCTGAAAAGAAACAAAAGTTGTACATGGGATAAAACTAATTGAAAATCAATCTGTTTAAAAATAAACAAATTGTAAGAGAAAGGCAAGTGGTGTAACTAAAATGACAAACAAGCCCCCCTTTTTCCCATTTAACATGTTATAATAATTAAATTGGGATGAAATAAATGTAGAATCTGAAGTATTTTTAGCTTTTGAACAGGAACCAACATGACGTTGGAAGATTTAAGTGGAGTCAGGGGCTCACCCTAAATAATAAGGACCTTTTACTTCAGTGGTTAACCAAATCACAAATAATATTAATAATGCCTTACACTTATATAGCACTTTTCTGGACACTCCACTCAAAGCACTATATAGGTAATGAGGTCTCCCCTCCACCACCACCAATGTGCAGCCGCCCTGGATGATGTGACAGCCATAGTGCACCAGTACACTCACCACACACCAGCTATCAGTGGGGAGGAGAACAGAATGATGAAGCCAATTCTTTATTAGGAGACCATGACTGGTAAAGGCCAGGACACCAGGGTAACACCCCTATGCTTTTCAAGAAACACCCTGGGATTTTTAATGACCACGGAGAGGTTTTACGTTTCTTCCAAAGGATGACACCTTTTTACAGTATAGTGTCCCCATCTCTATACTGGGGGACACTATACACAGGCTGCAGGGTGAGCGCCCCCTACTGGCCCCACTAACACCTCTTCCAGCAGCAGCCTATGGTTTTCCCAGGAGCTACTGAGCTTCACTGGGTTGCCAGTTGTGAGTTGCAGGGTGATAAGGTTGCTGGATAGGACTTAAAAAGTTAAAAAAAAACAGACTTTAAAAGATTAAATGCATTGATACCGTAGTTGATTCCTGAGACCTCAGCTTGTTCAATTATTTGATTGGTGTTCTAAGTTTTAAAGAGAACTGAACCACATCTTTTACATCTGCCTCCTGTCTGAGGCCACCCACTGATATATTGATTGGCCCACTAGTTAAAATTCTCATTGCATGTCATCAAAAGCTCCATTCAATCAATCAATTAGTCTCACTTTTTAGGTTGAAAAACATTCGATCCATGATTGTCGTGACTTTCTTCTTCTTTACAGAGATAATTTTTGTTCTTCTTTTAGTTCATCATCAAAGTCATGATTAGTCACAGCAGTGCAGAAATACAATAATGCTAATTAATTATATTTTGTTTATTCTGTATCAAAAAACCCAAAGACCAACTACAATTATCCGAATGATGTAGTACCTTAGCACTCTGATTATACATTTACACAGTACACAACCTTAATGCTACTTGGCAAATACTTAAATACCTATAAGAGATTCTAGGAGTTACTCAACTGGATACACTTATACCAGCACTGCAGGGTTCCTGCAGTAATACGATCAGACATGGACGGAGACACAACCCACAATTATTAGATAAGTAAACATCACAAAAGGAGTATTCAAAGAAAAACTTAACTGCAGTGGAATTCAAATGACATTAAATAACTTTTATATGAAACAAGGATACAGCTGTGTTATCACCTTGTAGACAGATCTTAAAAGCTCAGCAAGGCTGGGACTGGTCAGAACTGGAAAATTGGTTTGCTGCTGTATGTGGTCCTGGTGGACCAGCATTTTCAAACCAATGCTCTAATTTAGTGACCAGGACACTATGCTGAAGGAAAGGCTGCTCTACAGATTAAACCAAGGCCATACTAGTTTAATGGCTTTGTTGTCATTAACTTCTCAAGGTACTGTACGGAACAATGATAGTGTTAACCCTATAGTCCTGACCAAATGTCACAATGGGCTTGCACAATCTTACCTCCCTAAACTTCCTCCAGAATTTAATGGGTATATCAATTGTTCACTTCTCTACTGGATTGGCTGTGTAATACCACTGAAAACACAGAGTGACTGGTGAGTGTCAACGAGGTGAATGCAGCCCTTCGGTTATAGAAGAAGGGAGTCTCACATGTATTTTGTATGTAAAGTGCTTTTAGGGTGAAAGGTTCTATAAATGCAAGAAAATATAAAAAAATCAAAGTCAAATTCGGTTTGTGCATTGAGATCTCTGGATAACATTGGGTTAATTTAATACATTTAAATGTAAGAGGCAACTATATAACGAAGAGGACTAACGTCAGAACTGTACTTCATTTAAAAACTCATGTGCTTCAGAGCACTTCTTCCTGTTCTCCCTATTTTATTAATTCTGTACTTTATAGATTTTATCCAATTTATATAATTCCGTGCAGATGCAATTCATTATATGTTTTTTATAATCTTTTATTTTTTGGACTTTTAATAAAGAATAAACTACCACAAGATGTATCAAACACCAATTACTAGTCGGACTTCACACTACAGCTTATTCTGCTTTTGCTATGTTAGTGTGCATTATGGGAATCGTAGTTTTTCAAATGTACTTTCTTTACAATGTATCGGTTAATTTAAGTAAGTGAAAAACTACAAGTTCCAGAAACTAGGACGCAAGGACAGTAATGGCTGCCTCCTCTGTGGGATCGTGTGTAGTATGTTCCTGTATTAATAGAGTAAGCCCAAGTCAAAGACATTTGTTAAGGACTTTTACTTATAACAGTTTCTTCATTAGAAATGTACGGACTTCGTATTTATGTTTCCAAAATCAAGTTCAAGCCCAAATTAAAAGGTACGTTTTCGATTCTGAAGTATGTAGGTTTACTGCACCGTACTGTAAGATCTATTTCCCTATACTGTATGTAGTTGATCCGTATATATGATACAAGTAGAATTAGAAGTAAATATATAAATATATCTTATATAAAAATGTGTATTTTATAAAGGTAAACACTGAGTGGTAAATAACGTAAATATATAAAAGAAGTATTTTCTGCTGTACACATCTTCAAAATCGGGACATACCAAATATGTTGCTGCAGTAGTTCTAAAGAAAAATTATACTGCAAAGGGACAAAATGTACTAATTGTCCCAAATATGTGTCGCCCTATAGTAATGCATTTGCTTATTTCTGCTCAAAATCACCGGTCGCCAGGTTATTTCACAGTATGTTCATGTATTATTGACATACTCTGCAAGTATGTTAATTTGGACACAGATTTACCACACATATTGTTGAGATTTATGGTATTGTATTCATTGTAGGAGTGTCGTTAAAGAGATACGTTTGCTGTCCACTTACACTTGAGGTGTTTTTTTTTTCATTTGACAGTTATTGCTACCTAGTTGTTCTGTCGGTGACTGCTAGCTCTTGTCAGTGTTAGTTGACAGTTCAGGATTTGTAACTTGTAATAATAGTTGAATGTGCTGAATTGTAAGTGATAAATGGTTAAAATATTTTCTACAGTATTTAAATAATAAATATAAATGGTTTATTTTACAGTTTACCTTATAATATAGCTAATATTTATGCTTTCGGTGTTACACTAGGTAATAATCCTATTAGCATTTGTTGTGAACTATAACTGGAAAATGTCTCCACCTCTTTAATATGAAAGGTTTAAAGAAACAAGCTCATCAACAGGCAGTGAGTCACCTTGTGAGAATCAGCTCCTTCTTCTCTTCCTGAAGCTCTTTATGATGGAATAGTTAGCACACACATAGCTTTGCTGCCATGGCCTTATTGGTAGTCTTCCAGCAGTTCAGACGTATAACCTTATTAGCTCAACAGTCGCCATGTTAATGGTGTCCGATTTGTATTGCGCTGTTTTACACGCCTGTCTTGTCTTTCCCAGTGACCCCCGGCAGCTGGTTGCGGTGGTGGGCCTGGAAGTTCACGCACAGATCCATTCCAAGTCCAAGCTGTTCTCTGGCTCTCACGTGAAGTTCTCCGCACCTCCTAATTCTCTGGTGTCCTTCTTTGACGCCTCCCTCCCGGGCACCTTACCTGTAAGCAGATTATATTCCTTTTACTGCATACTGGCAAGTTGATGAGTCTTGAGTTTTTGGAATGATGCCATTCCCCAGCTAAGGAACTTGAAGAGCTGGAGGGTGTGTTTGAAACTCCTGTGTCTCCGAGCTGGTGTACATGTTCTCACTGTGTCTCAAAGTGGGTCAGTTTCGTTTAACTCCTTAGTTGATATTTCAAAACTGGTACTGTGTTTGTGCGCTTGTTATAAAGGTATTTGTTGTTTGGTGAATTTGTGGACTCTGTCTTCACAGTAATGTTGCATTATGTTGTATTGTGTGTGTGAAGGAACAAGTTATAGGTTTATTCCATGCTGAAAAAAAGGCCGTGGAGCCTTCTTCAGGTGACATGTGTCACCTGAAGTGACACATGACACTTGTGTGTGTGATATGTGTATGTAATTCATGATTTTTCTTTCTCTTCTTGTATCTGCTTTTTTTGTACCTCTTTTATTTTGAGTGCACCACAAAAAGTTCCTAACAACTCGAATGGTTGGTTTGACAAGAAAGTTGACTTTGACTTTGTCCTATGATGGACTGGTATCCAGCTCAGGGTGCAGTTACTGTATGCCTTACACCCTTGTAGGCCTAGGTTCTGGATTGCTGTTGGTCTGTTGGTTTGTGTTGGTGGCCTTCAATATTTACTGCCCCCTGGTGTTAAAAAGTTATTACTTTAAACATCATCTGCCTGGTGTTTGAACAGTCTTTAATTTGATCAAAATCTTTTTTAATTTAATTTGCTGCCTCTACTGTTTGCTAGTCCTCCTAATTCGGTATCATCTGCAAATTTGAGTAGTTTAATACCTGATCTAGATTATTGATATGGATTAGAAGCAGCAGTGGTCCCAGCAGAGGTCCTTGTGGTACTCCACTAATTGTATTACCCCAATTTGAGCGTTCATTCATTATCTGTACTCTCCATTAGCCTTTTCCATTAGCCAATTTCCAATCCAAACACATGCCTTACTTTTAATTACTACCGTTACACCTATATACCAATATTGTACCATTATGACTACTGTAATGTGCTAATTTATCTTTTTTAGGAACTTTGGCAAAAGAAAATTGAAATACACTCTATGATATGTTATGTATGTATGAAGTCAGTGAGGCAAGACTTACCTTTTCTAAATCCATGTGGACTATTAATTATTTCCATATACGTGACCTCTAATCTTCTAATTTAGTTTTATCCCAACCTCACATTGTTGCTTACTTAAAGAATTTTGAATGCTTCATTTTTTTTGATAACGTGACCAAGAAAAACAATAAAACTATAAGAAACAGAAACATTTGCCTCAAGAAATCATCTGCTGTAAATTCATATTTAAAATCTCCCAAGACTTCACATTACTTATTTCAGTAATGATTTAAAACTTACTTTAAACTTTATTTCACATTGCAACAAGATTGCAATACAGTAAGATTAATACAGTAAATTAAACAGAATTGAAAGGTAGTTTATGAATGTAAGCTTTAAACAAGATTTCAAATGCTGACTGATTCAAGAGATACTTATGGGCTGGACAGCTTTGAATCAACAGAACAGAAAGTGTGGTTTCCTGAGTTTTGGGATATTTTGATGAATTTTTCATCTTTCTGTTACTCATATATAGACTTATAGTATTTTTCATGTAGTTTCAGTAGTTGCCACGCCTCCGACGTTAGGATTGCATACAATGTTAATGCGGAAGATTACCATTTGATTGCAGTGAATGACTTTAGCTGTCCCAAGTTCTCAAACGCTCTTGTTTAAGAACTGGGCGTTTGCTGTTTTCCTTTTCCCATGCCACAGAACAGCCCTGTTGACTAATCCAAGGGTGAAACTGTCCAACTGTTGAGTCCCTTGCATGACTTTACACTCCCTTTCCCCCAGGTGCTGAACAGGAGGTGTGTGGAGGCAGCTGTGATGACAGGTCTGGCCCTGAACTGCACCATTAATAAGAAGTCCTTGTTTGACAGGAAGCACTACTTCTATGCTGATCTGCCCGTAAGACCTACAGGCTCTCATCTGACAGCAATATAACCATTTTTTAAAATTATTGATATTTTGTGATTTTATGTTCGAAACGTCTTACAATATTTTTGCTGATTTTATGTAAGAATGAACCTTTTGTTTACTCTCTTATTTTCAAAACTTTTTTTTTCCATACAGTTGCAAAGTACCGCAATTGAATCTAATGGCAAAGTTCAATAAGTCAAATTCTGTGAAGAACAGTGTTATATTTTACAATGCAAGAAGCATCTCTCACTATTACGTTGAATAGGATGGATGCCGTTCTTGGCTGTTAAAAGCCAGTAATGCACAAGTTATTGCTAAGTGATTTTCACCTTGGAGCATAAAAACAGGCAGTAATGGAGTAAAGCGATGACACACTTCCTCTAATCCCAAAGCTCATGGGTAATTGTAGTGCATTTATGGGCTGCTTTTAAAACCAATTCAGATTAGTATGCCAAAAAGAGATAAGAGTGGAGACTGAATAAAAGACATCCTGCAGATATTTAGGAGAGATTGCTGGTAATGTATTTAATTTCAGAGTTGAAAAGAAGTGCACCCTCTAGAACAAAGGTACATAAATCATTTTTAAAAGTCTTTTTTGACATCTCATTAATACATTGGAAGGGGGGAAGAAGAAGCTAAATTTGAATATTTTACTGCGTGAATGACATGCAAAACTTAATTTTTCACCATTAGCATTTTCTTTTCCTGGAGAACTGCCCACAGATTCACTGGAGACCCACATTTTCAAAACACAAGGCTATAAAAGCAGTTCAGAAAAATGACCCTGCTTTTTGAGCACTGCAATAATCCTCACTATGATTTAAAAACAAAGAACTTCAGTTATGCTGAAAGAAACTGACAAAAGGTTTGGTGTTTAGTTACAGACCATTCTTTTAGTTAAAATGCCTCTAGTCGTATACTTTTGGATTTTGACTTTTTTTATAAAGCTGCCAAGCAGTCTGTTATACTAATGTACTATATATTCTTATACTAAAGAAGATTATACCTATTTATTTCTTTTTATTCTCCGTGAAGGGAATTTTCTCCAATTTTTGGAGAACTATCATTAACGTTGCCAGAGGTTGCCTCAGTTCTCAAAAATGTAGTTAATACACAAGAATCTACTATAATGCTAAGGTTTCTAGGTGCTTGTTTAGTCAGTCTCTAAAGTGGAATTACTGGGATCAAATTCCAAGTGAAAGGGACTACTTTCACAAACAAGCTGAAATAAACTTTAATAAAAGGTAAAAGTACAACTTGCTTTTGAATTTTACTTCCAGTGCATACCAGTTTAATTACATAAAATAAGTACATATTAACACATTATTATCTAGTTTTTTTTTGACTGTCTAATGGGTAAAACCCAGCAACTCCAGACTATTAGCCATCATCAAACCAGTTACAGCATGCTTTTATAGGAATACAGTCAGATTTATGCAAAGCCCTTGATTTGAGGCATTGGCCTGCAGTAAATCTCTCACAATCATTTTTTTAAGTTAATGGCAAAAATAATGCACTGTGTTATAATGGGTACTTAGATTACTAAGAGTGTGTGTTAAGTGCATGATTTCACTTGGAAGTATGATTTTGAGGTCTAGGAGACTATAATTAAGGATTCAAGGGACATTAAATTGAGGGTCATAGAACATGTAGGTATGATACCCAATATTTGTGGTGCCAGTTGCCTGACATCTTGTGCCTCTTTGTTAGGTTAGATTTTGCTATTCAATACCTTTGTGCCTATAATGAAAGAGGGTGCATGGACCTTCAGAAATTGATTTTGCATGATCTATTTGGCAAAAGATTGATTCTGTGCCTTTTTTCTATTGCGGATACTGCTTGTGTATTATCTTGGCACATTATTGTTTGCTGTTTCCACAGCACCTGTTGCTCAAAGGCCAAAAAGCCTGTTCCGCTAAAATCTGTAGGCTTGGGCAGATAATTAATTTGATGCTCAGGTGCAGAAGGGGCATGGTGTCTTTTCTCATATTCATGCTTGTAATTTTCCTTCAGTAGTGATTAATCTTTGTTCACTTTTGCCTTGATTCTCTTGACAACATATCGCTTCCTACTTTGAGCAAAGTCTGTACTTTTGAATTGCTTAAATAACATGCTTGCTTATGTCTTTGTTTCTTTCTGGGGAAAGTGTCAGAGGGTAACCTCTGTCATTTCATTACTGTCAAAAACAACATGCTGTGCATCTCTCCACCAAAGCACTTCATTAAAGTTTTCAGTTTTAATAACAAGTTTATCTTTTCTCTTGCAAACATTGTGTAGTTGGTGAATTTTCAAAGAGAAAACTTTTCTCTCAGCTTGACGGGTTTATTCAATGTGGGGATATATGGACAAATATAATTTTTTTTACTGTAATACAATACTGTGATACAGATTATTTAAATGTTTCTCTGCATGTTTTAGAATTCTGTTCCATAGCAGCCACAGCAATCATGGAACGTGTGACGCAATAGAAAAATAAAATGGACTGACTTCTGTGCTCCAGGCAGGTTATCAGATTACCCAGCAGCGAGTGCCCATTGCTGTAAATGGGAGCCTTGCATACAGCCTTGTAGTGGGACAGAAGAGGAAAGAGGTGGTGACCAAGAGTGTGAGAATTAAACAGATCCAGCTGGAGCAGGACAGTGGCAAGAGCCTGCATGACGACTCCAGGAGCCAGACCCTCATAGACTTGAACAGAGCAGGTGACTCTTTTCGGGGGCCTCTTACATTTTGTGTGGAAGGGCTGTCAGATGTTAATTAGATTTAACGTGTCGAGTACAAGTGCCTTGAATCAAGTGTATCGTCAGGTGTATGTCTCTTCTGTCCACCTAGACCACATTCAGTGAAGTATTGAGGTCTGCTGGGAACTTTTTGCTGGGAATTTTCTCAGATTGGTTATTAAATCTTGGTTAAAAAAATTGACGGTATCATGCACTTTTTATGAATTTCAAATAAAGTGTGAAATCGTGAACGTAGAAACCTTGTGAAAGTACCATATGGTTGCCATATTCTCACAGGCAGATGAGGAACCGCAGCTCTTGCCAAGGTCCAGAGTGAGAGAATTGACGTTAAAGCCTCCCTTCCCGCTCGCTACTCTCTGTAAACAAATGAGAAACAACATTAATTATTTTGAGTGTATTTTAGTTGGTTGGCAGGTTGCTTTTTTTTGCAATACTTAAAAGTATTTAAAAAAGGTTTGCCTTGTATGTGTCCGTTTCATGAAAATATTTACTATTAATATAGTAGCAAAATTCACTTGGGCTGAAGCTATTATAATGTAATAGGGCCTCTTTTGTGTCATCTGAAGTTTTCTTGCCTCATTCTGAATCCCAGACAAGAATGGCAATATGGCATTATGTATACATTAAAAGTTAATCTCTTTTGTGATGTAAAGTGGAAGTTGCACATGTTACCATGTCCTTTGGTAGTTTCATTCTGGTTTGAAATGCACTCAACATTGCTGGATCATTATAACCCCAAATTGTAGAAATAGTGTTGCAGTTCCCCTTTTAGCAGGACAACTTTTCAAAGGCAGATTTCCAATCAAATAATTTTGAGCCTGCAAGCACTGCCCACACATTTACCCCATTGAATCCTCAGTTTGCAAAGAGCAGGCATGGCCCACAGTCCCACAGTGACCGAAGGGTCTGCGTGCTGTCCCCCACAGGCGTGGGGCTGATGGAGCTGGTGATGGAGCCGGACATGTGCTGCGGCGAGGAGGCAGCTACAGCTGTGAGAGAGCTACAGCTCATCCTACAGGCGCTGGGGACCAGCCAGGCCAATATGTCGGGTAAGGGATGTCCGAGTTAATGAGAAACAACCACGGCCCAAGATGATCCATCCAAGGCCCTAGATGAAATCTCATGAAATTTGACGGAATTGTGTAAGAGTTTTCACAAACATTGTAGAGGCTGGAAACTTAGTTAATCCCCAGTCATGACAACATTTTGTTGATTTCTCCATGCCATCTTTGATTTGGAGAAAAACCTTGAATGGTCCTTTCTATGGAAACCCTTAGACCAAATAAAATGAAGATTTGGAGTGCATTAAGTAGGTTTGTTTCCTCTCAAAATTGTTTATGGCAAGAATTAAAAAAAAAACTTTGGTAACTTTGGAAACATGGCTGCCACGAGTTAGTCAAACTGGATACCTTCTCTGACAAAAAAATCTTGTCCATGACCTCTGGCTTTTCCTAATGGTCACATGTAAAATCTTTTTGTAACCTAATACATGTCACTTACAGTAAAGCTTATGTAATAGTTTCTTATAGAATGTGTTTATGAGATACATTATTATTCTGCTATGGAAACCCATAAATGATCTTCAGATAATGATGTGCTCTCTGATCTCTCCTTAAGGTGAAAACTATCTTCTACCTTTTTCTTTTTAGAGAGTGCAGATAAGGTCATGGTTATTTTGAGATACATGTAGGAAACCATATATGTGTGTATTAAGCAAAATACATCCCTGTGCATTAAAAAGCAATATATCTGCTCGGCCACAATGATCACTGCTTGGAGTTGTTTTTTCACATTATTTTTATGCCTTTTTAAAACAAGTCAGCAAAAATAAAGTAGAAAAATGAGTTTTAACAGCTAGATTTATAACCAGAAAATGAGGGAGTAACAGTCCGGAGGAAGAGAAGTTGGCCTTTATGGTAAATGATATGGCACACAGTAGTCTTACAGGGGCTGCTGTTCTCCTGATCGAGTCAGACGTTGGCAGTTTTGAGTTTTATGAACTCTCGTTGGCTGAGC